GTTGAGTCGTTTGATTTTCAGCAGGTATATTCATAATTTTATCTTGACGCTCAAATAACACCAGAAATACTAGGGTTGAAATGTGGCATGACATTGTGAATTCTGATTTTTAAAGGCTGCTCAGGTAACTGCGTAGTTTCTACAGCTCAAAGGCTCTAATATGCTCTCTCTTTCACGTTCTTTTCTCTTTCTTCTCTTTTGCATTCTTCCTTTCTTTCCCTTTCTTCTCTAGTTGCAGCCAGTAGTTCTTGAGTAAACTCCTCATCATAACCAGGACTTTCAGTAATCAATTTATGCAAGTGAGCAGTCTTAAATTCAGATCTCACGGTTAAACCTAACTCTTCTGCCAGTACTTTTAAATCCTGTTTTTTCCTCCTAGCTAAGAATGACATGTTGAACAAGTTACCTTTAATAAGCTTTCCTTAAATTTCAATCTTACAAATCGTACTTGTATTAAAAGTCTATAATTTCTGGCGAGACTTAATTTGTCAAATATGAAATTCACACTAACCAATTAGAGAGAATTATTTAAACAACTTTGCCAGCTTGACACAAAATAATATAATACTACGCCGGGTTGACGTTTTAACTCACTATTCACAAGCCTCGTTAACTATAACTATATAAACACCTTTGCCAGTTGGGCAATACAATGGAATTTAACCCACGTCAGTTTGACAATTTTACTATCTCCACGCCTGGTTGGCAATAACAGAAACAATTTTTGTTTGGAAGTACAATTTTTACAATATACAATCTGAAATACGTCGGGATGATGTTAATATTTACCACAAAAGACTTTTGCCAACTCTGCAGTGTAATCAAATCACACTGCGTCAGTTTGACGTTACTACTTATTTTCCACGCGCCTGCTTGGCAACAAATTCAAACACAGCTAGTAGTTCTTTTTTTTTTTTTTTTTTTTTTTTTTTTTTTTTTTTATTTATAAATGCCGGAATGCCTTACACATATTCAACTATCAACATAAAAATTCAATACAAATAACAGTAAAGGCTAAATAATAATTCAAAAAACTTTTTTTACCACAATATCAATTATAATTTAACCTTAAAATTTTAAGTACAGTCAAAAGTCGTTAATTCGGACACCCATAATCCGGAATGATATAAAATCCGGACCTCAAAGCTACAAACTTTCTGTGCATGCGTCGCATTCACGTGTGACCACAGGCGTTTATGAGTGCGCGTAAGACCTTTACGGCTGCGAATATTCATTTGCGCATGCGCGTTTAATGTGTAACGGACGGGTATAAGCTAAGCTAAAATTATCTAATTCAGTTTGTTCCTTAATCTTCGAATTGGATCCGGCTTATTATTTTTTGCAGACTGTTAGAGCAATTTTATAAAAGTAAGCTTGAACTTTCAATTATGCCAAATAGAATTTCCGATATATATTTACTAATATGTAAAGAATCAACAAAGCGAAAGTATGTTTCGAAATCTGAAATCTGTTTATCAATTTCACGCCGCGGCGCGCAATGAATTGGAAGTTGATCTGTCAGCACTATCCTTATCGTCAGGGCAGATGTAAGTTCCTCGTCATTATAATTCGCTTCCAATAGTGAAGAAAGTGACCCAGAGGTTATTGAAAACGAAAAAATTTCGATTGACAAATTAGTCGGTATTCTCAACACAGCAATTATAGGACTTGAACAGCGGAACTTTGTAATAAAGAAATTATGTCTGTTTAAGAGAATTAAAGAGAAAGTATTATCACATGAAACGAAGTAACTTAAACAACTTACATTGAAAGAAATGTTTAATAAAGTAAACAAATAAATATTAAGCTTTTTCTTTTTGTAAATTTTGATACCCTTTAGATCATAATTGTTCTTTATTTCATAAATTATGGTTTCATATTTTTAATTTTGTAATTTCTGCATGTCATCTTACCAGATTTAAACTGATGATCTATAATCGGAAAAAATCGATAATCCGGAATCGCCGAAGTCCCGACGAGTCCGGATTAACGACTTTTGACTGTATTAGTTATTTTACACAAAAACTTACACTATTTAAATATAATTGTGAAATGAAATGCTATATCCTGTTAAACCCTTTTTATGAAAAACAAAAGTTTCTTAGCATCAGAGATCAGCGGTCCTTACTGCAATTTATCGCGGAGCAAGTTGCAGAAACACAGAAGATAACCTTTGAATGATCCGCTTCAAAGTCTGGCTTTAAAACGGCAAACTTCTGACATCCATTTCTCCTTGAAATAAACAAACTTGGCAGTTGGTATTAAGAAAACTTGTTCTAAAAATTTGAGCAGATTACTGGGATTAGGAGACCAGCACCATCGAAATTGATAATTGCACTCCTAATTTCCAGTATCTCGGTGGAACCTCCAATTTAATAAGACTGTTATATTTTGTAGCAATTGAGAAAGATAATCTTCTTAGTAAAACATAAATTTTATTTTTAATTTACGGAGATAGATAATTTGAATATAGTCTGTTAGTTACAAAATTTTCATACAACTGCTAGCTGGTCAAACTTCAGAATCTCATTTTTAAAACAATTTCTTGTGTTGCTGAGCAACGGTTACATCATACAAAGATGGCGTTGCCACTTCAATAATAAATTTAGTTATTAGTTAGTTATTTGTTAAAATAACAAAATATTACAATGCATAACGGTCCATACAAGTGCTTACAAGTCCTTATATATGAAAATAAATTATTAAGTCTCTTATAGGTGCTTACTTTTTCTCTAAAGCATATATTTTTTGTGTTTATCTATCTGGAGCATCAGATGGGGAATCATACTACAGGAAATAGTTTTCCTCCCCTTGCTTTGCGTTAACGTAACCTTTGATTCACGCGAAAAGAAACAGGTGTACATTGTTCCATTGGACAAAGAATTGTGAAATGGGTAGAAAATTCTGGTCCTACCCACAAACTATAGATGTTTTAATTTCTGTCAAAATTTTAATAATTTGCATTCTAATTCTATGTGGTCGAAATGATGACGCATTTATTATGATCGTTATGCTTACATTATAAGCACATATATGAATATTTTAATAATATATTTCCAGTAAATGCTGAAGTATAGATAAACTTCAAAAAATGGGTAAGTATGTTTTTAACACAGATTGGCTTTATATGGAAGAATATTCTGAATGGCTTAAAGATTGGGAATATGTTCGCAATGTCTTCATATGTGCCTGCGGTTGCAGTAAAGTTGTGAAAATACCAAGGTCGGATTGCCATAAAAGTCAAATTGAGTTAGAATACGAATATCATGAAAACATGCCTAGTTCATGGCGTCGCGAGACTAGTAAGTAAACTTTTTTCTATTTAATTATCATTAATTCTAATGTGTGAAATTTAGAATTAAAATCTCCTATGGACTGCCGATTTATTTATTTTAAAAATTTTCGTTTTCAAGCTTTCGAAAAGCTTTTTTCATGCTTTTCAATTCCCCCTTGCTATTCTGCTTTTCACATATATCTTCAAAGTTGTGAATTTGAGGCTTACATGGCTTTCTCTCTCTTTTTTTTTTTTTTTTTTTTTTTTTTGCAATGTATTACACAGTACAGAAGTGAGGGTTCCTAAGATTCCAAATCCTCCCCTTTCTCTGAAAAATCCTGAATAAAACTGTAACAGCTCGCAGCAAAACAAGCAAGGGACTTTTTTGGGGGGGTCACCTTTCCTATCTGGATTGAATAGGACTAAAAGTTCTGCAAACTACTAACACAAGTGAAGTGTGATTCTGTTCCGGAAATTTAACGCAGTCTGTTCAAAATTAGAAGGAAAAACACTCCAGATTTGTCTCTTTCTTTTCCTCTATTTAGTTTTGTATCCTCCAAATACCAGCAGCTGTTGATTCCAATATCACATGTGGAAGAATTAAGGTGTGCATATTGCACAATAATGTTTACTATATTTTTCGAAGATAATTAATTAGTTTTGATGTTCAATCTAGGATTTGTTTATAAGAGCACTTAAAAGAGTTTTACTGTGCTTGCTGAATGGAATATTTTTCAGTTTCTTTGGGCTTTTATGTTTATGAATTTTATGTTTATGAATATATATATTTACAATCTATATGTTTATGGGGATAACTGAGCTACAGATTATAGTTTTTTTTTTTTTTTTTTTTTTTTTTTTTAATCAAGAACAACATGTGTTATCTTACAGATCAAAGCATTATTTAGCCGAAAAATATATAAAATGGCTACAATCTACCTCCTTCTCTTTCTAGTTACGCTCGACTGTCCGGAATTTTCAGATATCTGGCAATCGTCAATTTCCGAGCATGCCGGTTAGTTTAGATTTTACTGTAGAAACGATGACTGCATGAAGCAATTTCTCTCTGATTTCAGTATTAATAATATGAGTGGGAAAATAAATGTGCAATAAATTCTATTTATTTCTAGGTGCCAAGCATAAAAAATTTCTGAAAGGGAAAAATGTAGACATTGGTGGAATAAGAAGCTTTTTCCCCAAATCAAATCCTGCTAGTGTTGAACCTTCCAGTTTCCCAATTGTTATTTGTGCTTCGTCAAATTTAGATACTTTAGATGATGCTGTAGGAGCTTCAAAAGATATTTTGGATACTGAAATTGTGTGGTGTTTGAAAGTGGTGACAACTCATTACTCTTATAGATCTAGCAGTGACGTGGGCAAACTTTTTTCAAGTATGTTCCCTGGCAGTGCTATAGCAAGGCACTTTTCTTGTAGTGAGAGAAAGCTTCCTTATCTCTGCCTTTTTGAAATAACACCTTATTTTCAGTCTCATGTATGAAAATTTAAGAAGCTAAAGCAATTAGATTTGCATATTAGATATTGGCAGTCTGACCAAAATAAGGTATTCGATTTTTGATATCTGTTTTCATGAAGCATGAAACCGCTGCTAATATGAAAGTTTTCAAATGACAGTTAAAAAATATGATTATATATGCCTGGATATAAAAAAGCTGCTATAAATAAGTATCGATAGACCAGCTGTAAACTGGAAGTTTTATGAAACTGCCCAACATGAATTGAAAAAGGAATATGGCATTGAATGTATATCTATTAGTAGTTGTGGCTTGCATATATTGAACAATGTTTACCGTAAATGAGCATCCACTACAAGCTGAGATATACCTTCTAATTTAGGGAACTGTACCATTTATTCAAAGATTCTCCAGCATGTCAAGAAGATTTTTTTAACAGCGAGTGTGCATAAGACTTTGCCATTGAAATTTTATTACTATAGGTGGCTGGAGAATGTGCCAATATATTTGCATGCGTATAAAATTTGAAAGATATAAAAGATTATGTCAAGCTAATTGAGAATGGGAAATATGGAAAAATAACTTGCAAATCATATCAAATGATAAGAGGTGCAATTAAAGACAAAATTCCTTTTTTTTCCCTTCTCATTTGTGTGGATGAATTGATCAAACTCTTTTTGAAACTGTACCTATGATGAATCACTTGTTCTTTTTATTATTATTATTATTATTATTATTTATTTATTTATTTATTTATTTATTTATTTACACAAATAAGTAAAACAACTTTTGCAGCATTTCAAAATTATGAAGAGTGCATGTTAAAAATCAGTTCATCACTGAAATATTTGTGTAACTTTGATTTTTTCTGAGCATGGTATTGTTAATGAAAAAAGCGCAATTAGTTTAAGATTTAGGGCTGATAAGCTCTTGCAAGATTTATACGCTAAAAAAGAAATCATGGATAAAGATTACCTTTTTCTTAAATGTGACTCACAAACTTATATTTTATAGCTACTTGAAAAGCTGATGGGAGAAATGTCCAGTCAATTATTCACTAATTCGAAATGTTATTTCTGTGTATCTGAAGTATATGGTGCAAAAGCGTACAAGAAAATGAAAAGTGTACTTATGAATTTTTCCCAAAAAGGTTGCATTGCAGAACAATAGGGTAACATTCTTTTGGAATATTCCGATTTCGTTGAAAATTTTGTCCGGTCATTACCTTACAGAATTTAAAATATGTGATGTAAAAAAAAAAGATTAGATGCTTTTTTGTATACATTCACTAATGAAAAATACTTCAAGTTACGGGAAACATTTAAAATGATCATTATTCTTTCCCATGGGCAAGCCTTTGTTGAACAAGGATTTAGTATCAATAAAGATATAGAAACAGAATATCTGGGAGAAAATTCATACATTGAATGCATAGTGTGTGATTATGTGAAACATTCTGTTGGTATACACAGTGTATCAGTTACAAAACAGATGAGAGCGGCAGCTTCATCAGCTTATTCACAGTACCAGTTATATTTGGGGGGGGGGGGGGGGGATTATTCAAGATTTAAAAAAAAAAAAAAAGAGTTGAATTGATTTCTCTTAAAGGAAAGAATACTCTCTTAGAAAGAGAAGTTGAACTGCTTGAAAATAAAGCAAATGAACTTGCTGAAAAGGCTGAAGTTACAAAAGACTTAGGTCTTTGAAATAAATCCAATGAAATGTTAAAAACTATGTGAAAAACAAACTCTGTTAAGAGAACTGGATTCAAACATTAACCTTACAGTGGGCGTGCATGCGCAAATTTTATGACAAACGCGCTATGTCTTAAAAAAACAGTTATGTACACCATAGAAGATGTCTGTTGTTCATTGCTGTTCCTCTGTGCATTTCATCCCTTTGAGATGAAATGGATTTATCCTGTTTCCAAGGTCAAGTTTCAGTTTTCGATTAAGTTTTATGCAGTATTGTACTTTGTTCGTAAAATTTCTGATGTGCGCCCATTCTTTTAGTAGATTTAATAATTATTCTTTTTACGTCTTTTAAAGTTTTGTTTTTATAATAATGTTTTTTATGTACATTATACTGTGTTATTAATTTATTGTGCAAAGTTTAAAACTATATATTTTGTATAATTTTCACAACATGTCCACAAAACTTGTAAAATGGGAAGATATCCCATGTATTCTTCAAGTATGTCTGAGGAAGAAAATGAAAGGAGTGATGCAGGAGCATTTTTGGACAGTGAAAGTGAACTTAATGAGTAAATTGCATAAGCAGTGAGTCTGAGCAAACTATGTCTGAAGACAATGAAGAAGAATCAATTGAAGATGAAGACTTATATTGGCAAAGACAAGCTTACTGGATGGCATAAAATATAATATGCCAAGTCCTCCAAAACTAAGAAGTTGAATATTGTGAAAGTTCTTCCAGGTAGGAAATGTTTTGCAAAAGATATAGATTCTTAACCTTATTCCCCGTCTGGGCACATCTGACAAACAAGAAATGGTAGTGGGCACAGTAAAAAAAAAAAAAAGAAAGAAAGAAAAACTATAACGATTCTAAACATTTCTTTATTTTATTGCAATCATAAGCATCATAAACAATACCCTACATTAAAAAGGAAAAAAATTCAAAATAGTTGCATTTAATGCGATTTTTGGCATTGCATATAGTATAAAGCGGACAGTCGTGGGTGCACAAAAATAGCTACATGGGCACGTGGTTAAAAACCCCTGACATAGATTATGAAATTGGATCATTTACAAAGATAATAGATGTAAATAATATGATTGATGAAATTTTGAAATATACAAATCAGTATACAGAGTAATCAGTATACATACAAATCAGTATGAAATATACAAATCAGTGTATCTCAGAGGGAAGCATGAATACTCAAGAGAAAGAGACTGCCAGGATACTACAAGATGTGAAATGATGGCATATTATGGATTATTGTATTTGAGAGGAGTTAAAAAGAAAAACTCATCACGCCAATGTCAAGGAGTTATTTACAAATGATAGCACAGGAGTGCAAACTGCAAGGGCAGTTGCGAGTTATAAAAGATTTTTGTTTCTGACAAGATGTCTTTAATTTGATGACAGAATAACTAGAAAAAATAGGTCTAAAACAGATAAGCTAGCAGCTGTACAAACAAATTTTGACAGTTTTCTAAGGAACTGATAAAGTACGAGTGAATTTGCTGCAGTAGATGAAATGTTGCATCCCTTTCGTGGCCGTTGCCAGTTTATTCAATATATCTCCAGTAAACCTTCAAAAAACGGAATAGAAATGTATGCCCTCTGTGATTCAAAGACGTTTTATATATATGACCTTGAAATTTATTGTGAATCACTACCAAATGGCCCATATGCAGTTTCAAATTCTCTACTAGATGTTATTAAAAGACTGGTTACTCTAACTGATTTTTGTGCAGAAATGTAACTACGGACAATTATTACTCAAGTATTCCTTTCGCTGATTACTTACTGCCAAGGAAAAAAAAAAACCTGACATTTGTAGGAAACTCTGAAAACGAACACAAATTCCACCATTTTGCCATGTAAAAAAAAAAGGATGGTTTGGTCGAGTATATTTAGCTTTCAAAAAGGTAAAACTCTTGTTTCATATGTTCCTCGTAAAAGCAGAGCTGTTATATTGCTTTCAGCAATGCATGACACACCAAATATTGATAATGACACCGATAAACCTGAAATTATCTTAATACTCTACAAAAGGGAGAGGTCGATATTGTTGACAAGATGGGGGCTCAGTATCATGGATAACAAGGAGATGGCCTGTGCAGTCTTTTACAGTCATGAACATTGCCAGAACAAATGCGCAAGTTTTATACTTGCTAAAAAAACCTGATAATCAACACAGTCAAAGAATTTTCTTGAAAAACTTATAAAAACTCTACTGTTTTGAAAGAACACCTTACAGCTTGAGCCAAAATCTCTTCATTGCTACATATTTCAATATTTCTAAATATAAATTATGCATTGCCTTCTGAAAAAACAACCGAGCAGCATCTACTGAAACGAGGAACTTGCAGTTTGTGTGTAAAAGAAAGGAAACGATCCAACAGCATCCATGAAATGCTATAGGGGCAGCAGATATACCTGCGGGTGACATTCGCTTACAAAAATACAATGTCTGGAATGTATGGATGATGAACATACTAATTAGAAGCTCATAAAGCAGAGAAGTATATTAGTTTTCTTACATTAAACATTCGGAATTTTTCTGAACTTTGTCTTGTTCGCCTTCAATAGATTTTTGTGTGTGCAAAGTAGTAATTTTGTTCTTCATTAATAAGTAGTTGTTAATTTCTTTTACTTTAGTTAGAGTATATATACCATATTTGCAGGCATACAAGACGCACCCTATTGTTTATACACATTTTTGAAGGATAAAACTTTATTATTGATCATTATAATGAATTTACGGTATTTTAAATATAAAGTGATACAAATACAAAGTAATACTTTCTGCAAATACTCAATCTATCTAGGAAAGAACACATTTTAATCTTCTTCATCAAAATCCAGACACTCATCTTCAGAGCTAAATGAAGAGTCACTTGAAACTTCATCTAAATCAGCATCTGAGTCCTCATACAACAAATTGTCCTCTGTTTCCATGTTCTTCAGCATAAGCTACCACACATAACTTGTATGCTATGATATAGAAATGCCGACCTTGTTTTTGAGCCATAACTTGCCAACAAATTTAAGAAAGTTTAACAGTAGAAATTTCACACACTTAAAAGTCGTTCAAAAAAATTGGAAAGTTTAAACGAATCCAGCTGTGATCATCAATGACAGCACATGTGCATTCTCAGAACTCAGTGTAACTGTAATATTTCCATACACCGCAAGGAAACAAGAAAAAAAATCACGTAACTGTAAATAAAGAAAATTTCCAGAAATGAAAGTAATCAAAAACTGAGTATCGACATAAGACGCACCCCATTTTTCAGACCTATTTTCAAAGGAAAAAAGTGCGTCTTGTACACCGGCAAATATGATATATATATTTTAAATAATCAAAGATGTATAATTTCAATAGATGTGAAATATTTACTTTTATAATTAGCTCTTAATTTTTATAAAACATTTGACATTTGTAACAGTTTAAATCTGTAAAAATGGACGAAAACATTCTGTCGTAAAAATTATGACACGTGCTCGCTCGTGAAATGAATGAGAGCATGCCCGCTTTATGTTTAATGAAAGAGACAAAAGAAAAATTTTAAATATTATTTATTAAAAAGCATAAATCTTGTTTCTTTTTTTATGACTTAAAGTAATTTGTATGAATATAATAAATGCAGTTTATTATTATTATTTTTCCTTATTTTTTAACTGAAATTTATCATAATCTTCTAAAAGGTTTAGTTTTCCATATGGTTCTCCTCCTCTTATGTAAACTAGTTCTGTAAATTGAACTTTTAAATTAAAATTTAAAAATAATTATAATTGTTTTCCATGATTGAATACTGTTGATTCTCTCTAATAAACACTGAATTTCTCATACTTTAAACTACAGTCAAGTCTTATTTTTCTTTTAAGGTTTGCAATTATGTATATATATAATTAAACAGGTGCTTATTTTTTCCTTAAAATGTGCTTGAAAGGTGCTTTTGTAGGTGCTTATTTTTTTGTACTAAAATGTAGCTACTAACCCTGAAAATAGCAGACTATACTTATACTGAATTTGCATTAAAATGTAAGAAATAATTCTGTACCATACTAAAGTCTTAAGTAATCACATTATGTGAATCACATTATGTGAATCATGTGTAAGAGTAGATCTATATGTGTCTATTTTATACTTTATTAGTTATGTGTTTCCTTTTTATTTCAGCTGAAGTAATTATGCTGGATGGTTTAATAGTTGTATACAGAAGCAATGTAGATCTCTTTTTTTATGTTATGGGTAGCTGCCATGAAAATGAAGTAAGAAAGTTTATCATTTTATGTCTTTGTTTAAAATGAAAACATGATGCAAGTCTGTTATGTTTGTGTGACAATACTATTATTTAATCACCAAATGTTTTTTGCCATTCTCTGGTCTCGTAATTTGTTCTATTTTATGAACTGCATAGTTCTCCAAGTTTAAAAATGAAAATTCAAGTATCTCATTTTTTAAGAAATATCAAAAATAAGTTTTGTGATGACTGTTTTAATAGAACTTTAATAATTCAGTTACCTGGCATTTGCATTCTTATAAATTTTGTGTTTTAGAGTTTTGAAATGTACCTACTTTACAGATTTCAAAATGCATGTCATGTTTCACAAGGATTCATATAAATAACTTGAGTTCTTTTATAAATGCCGGTGATCTTGAATTAAGGAAATTATTTTCATTTTATGGCTCGTCATAAATTCTTATTAACTTTATTTATGCAGAAACTCTTCTTTTAAATCTATTACTCGTCCATCCATTACAACAGAATTCTGATATTATTTTAGTAAATATTAGAAAATTTAAGATAAGATATAAAATTAGAATCATTATATTTAATATATTTTCAAAGAATTATGCTAAAGGATATTTAATACATAATTTAATTCAATCATCAGTCTATACATAGATAATTTACGGTAATTTAATTTATAGGTAAAATTCTGTAGTAGTCTAAAATTTCTAATTAAATTATGTATAGTGATATTTTAAAGAAATAATCTTTGCTTGTAGTTCCTTTTGTTCTATTTAAATGCAGCTAACATATGTGTGTAAATTTGGTCATGTTTATGCATGTGTTAAGCTAATGAATGTAAAATTAGAAATATTAATTAAAACATTCAGTATATGTACAAATTTCAGACGTTAGTTTTAAAAAAAAAATGCCATAAAGCAAAACAAAATTTCGAAAGTCTTTTGGCATTAAAAGCTATCCTTCAAAAGGGCTTTATGAATGAAAACAGTAGTAGCTACAACTAATTGTGTTGTTTAAAATATTAAACAAATAATATTGAAGATACTTCATCAAATTAGATGCATCTGCTAAAATTTGGTGATTGCTTTTAGAATACGACAACATGACTGTCAGTTACATTAAGAATGATGCTATTGAAAGTGATTAAAGCAGATTAACAAGCTGCAGTCTATCATAAGTTTTCCAAAACGTTATGTATTGCTGATATTCTATGTAATCATATCTTAACTAAGTGATTTATCCTGTTTAGTAGCAAGAAAAGCCAATTATCAGTTAGAAGCTGTACAGATCCAAGATAAAATTCTGCTGTCCATTTAGAAACTGTAAAATAAGTTGAAACACTATCTCTGATATCTTTCATAAGTACTATTTGAAGTCCTTCAGTAACATTGTCGTTTCAGTAACATTTGCTGTAAACCTAAATATTTTATCAAAGCTCAAACTTTAGTTTCGTCTGTTGTCAGAAATTTGAAAATTTGGGTTGATATGATTTAGACTTTGGCTATTTAAAAGAAAAAAAGGAAAAAAATTAAACTTGAAATATCAACTTTATCATGAAGTCATATATAGTAAGCACAGATTGACATTCTTTGGAAAGAATGCATATAGCACATTCTTTAGACTGTTATAATCAATTTGGGACTGAATTGCATGGAGTATGTTTGGGATAAATTTAGTACGTCTGGCATCTTGTCATGCACCGTCAAGAACTACAACATCAGGACGCTTCTCTTTTCTCAAAGAATGCCACAGAAATTTATAATAATCACAATGTACTCATGCCATACAGATATCCTGCACTACTAGCACAGTTAGGATATATTAGAAGTATTACAGTTTTATGCATACTTAGAAATCATTACAATATCCTTGTTGCATGATTTTTTGAAATATGTATTACTTCATTATATGTGATCATTTTCATTTTCTTTCACGTTTTTCATTAAAATTTAATTGCATGAATACATTTTTTTTAACTGGAACTTGCCATTTTAATTACACAAATACTTCTTGCATCTGCGAATTGTCAATGAAGTTGATGAAATAAAACATATCCTAAAATTTTTATACTGATAAATTTATTTCCTTAAAGGTCTTCAGATTTATGTATCAATTGATCTATATGTATTGCTGTGTTCTACGGGTTCACGGATTTGGAAAGATTGATGATAACACTTAATGAAGAATCAAAACATAATTTATTCACCAGTATTACACAGGAGAATTCCAAAGACACATTTACAGTCACCGAAAAACTATGATAAAAATGCTGAAACAATCTACAATGTTGAAGACAGCTTCATGGCAAAGCATTAAAGTACAGCTCCTGAGTCGATTTGTTGCTGTCAAACTAATCTCTGAACTCAACAAATTACTGCTGCATGTACTGGCAGGGTATACATATACCTTTAACTTACCTTCAAGACTATTCCCGAAGAAAACAGCTGTGAATGCGTTCTGGAATGTTCTCGCTCCATCTGTGACATATCGCTGAATGTCACAAAATCTGGCAACCGTGCTTTTTCCTGTTATACATGACTGCAGCTGAGCATTTTGCAACAATACATAAGTACCATACATTGAGCCCCTTACTTATTAGACTATATTCTTTTACTGCATTATGTGGTTTGGTTGGTTTATTTATTTACGGGAAATTACTCAAAGGCTATCTGCCTAAGGGGGAGATGCCTTCGTGCAGAACTTCGTAAGGGAAACTGATTCATACACACGTTAGACACATGAAAACACTCATGCAGTCAACCTATTCGCCGGAATTTGAGCAGACCAAACTACCAGTGTTCAGCAACTTAACCAGTCGGCCCTTTATTATGTGACAGCAGTTACATATAGCTGGTAAAATTGTCTAAAAATATATTATTGCATATTACTAAAGAGCTGCTGATTTATTTTTAAAAGCTTAGTGTTTTGAATACCATATGGCATTCAGTAATGCTATGAAAATTATTTTCAGCTGATTTTGGTGAGTGTTCTGAATTGTCTGTATGATGCTGTAAATCAAATTCTTAAAAAGAATGTTGAAAGACGCACTCTTCTTGAAAATCTTGATGTTATTTTGTTGGCAATTGATGAAATATGTGATGGTGGGTAAGTATTTGTTTTGTTATGCCTGTTAAAGGAACCTATCACCTTGGAAATAAAATATATTTGAGAAGTAATTTCTTTTAATTTTTTTTAATGATAATCATTGCATTCAAAAAGTGAATTATATCAAATTATAATATTTACTTCAAAAATGTATTAATAGCATAGAATATCTTTATTTGTAAACACCATTTGTAAGTATCTTTTTCTAATATAAATTAATATTTATTTTTAATTTGGTGATATTTTAATTTACAATGATATCTTTCCTTTTTGTTTCATTTTGTAAATGCAATAGAAATTAGGAGAATCAAAAAGTATGCTCTTAGATTTTTGTATATGAAAGCACAGAATAATTTTTAAAAGGCTGAAAAATTATATCATTTTGTAATTATTTCAACACATATGTGCATATAATTTTGAATAGAAAACTGTCTTTTTTAATTGGAATAACTGCAACTTTGGTCTGTAATTTACAAACAGAAATTTATATATATATATATTTTGTATTGATAAAAACTTGAAGTTGAGTTGATTTTTTTTCAAGGTTCAGAAATATATGTATGGATGGATACATTCATATATGAATGAATTCTATATGTATGTATATGTGTATACACACATGCATATACACACATACATACACACGTGCATACATCCATATATTTATAAATGTAGTCCCGATAACAAGAGAGTACTGATTTTTTTTTTTTTTTTTTTCCCATCCTATCCCATTATGCCTTAATCAAAATCTTCCATAGATAATTCATTCTCTTTGGCGTAACTATGAATAACGAATAACGACAAACACTATGTAGAACAGGATATCTATGTAAAATATGTAAATTAATTGAAATTAATAACTTCATCACAACAAGACATTATTAATACAAACAAATAATAAAATATGCTATACAGTATCTCACTTCATATATACAAGTATAATGCCACTGTTGAGAATTGAGAGATCTTTAAAACAGGGTTCGTACGGTCCTTAAGAGTCCTTAAAAGTCCTTAGATTTTTTTGAATCGATTTTTGGTCCTTAATTTTGATCAAATTCAACAGAAGGTCCTTAATTTTAATCATATAAAATTTCTGTCTGTTTTTACGACTGTCATTTTGCGTGTGTATTAGCATTTTGAAGAATATTTTTGGCGATTCACTGCCGTATATATGGTAATCTTTTGAATAGGTTCATGAGTTGTAATTTGTTTCTATTTCTAATATAAATGATGGATACTCGAGTTTCTAAGCAAGAAGTGAAACATAACATTTCGAATTCTTTTTCTGTAAGAGCTCTTAAACAACTTTTTGCTTTGGGGATGTGAATTCTTTATTAAACGGTTCTAAATTTGGCGACTTTAAATTTTGGCGGTTTAAAGATTAGTTTCTATAGAAACTTTTTAATTCCAAAATCTGAGATTTTCAACAATTTTTTTTAAACCTCGTAACATTGATAAATTTTTATTAAAATAATGGTAGTATATTAAAAATTTAAAAAATAACATTAAATAAACATTTTTATTTTTTGCTGTCATATTATAAAGTTCAATTTGGCAACTTATATATTTTAAATCTGAAAAATAAACAAGGTCTAATGCTATAAAGCACAATTTACGAAACAGCTCTTAGCAAAAGCAAATGAGCTGTGTAATTAATTAAAAATGTCTTATTTTTTATTTTTTCATAGTAGAGTTTTTCCCATTAATTGTCTCAGAATATTTAAATTCTCAGAATGTGCATCAGTTTTCCTCTCTAAAATTAATTTTATACTTTTTCCTCCTACTTTTTTACAAAAATTTCTGGTTTTCTGTTAGAAATGGTAGGGATAATTTTTCTTAGTATTCTAGACATTGTATCTTGGAACGTTAGAAGAATTTGAAGGCAAGATTTATAGACCTAGATTCTAGAAGATTCGAGAAATATGTGGCAAAATGAGAAATGCTCCATGGTATCAACACGTAGTGGATGGTATTTTACAGAAGTTTGCAATGAATTTCTTAATTTTGGGAGAACATCTGGAAGACAATGAAAACATAATATTTATGTATACTTCTGATACTAGAATCTTAACTGTTTATCTTCTCTTATTTTTCTCTACTTTTCATTAACAGAACATGGAAATATCAAAAGCTTCTGATCTTATCACATGGGCGGCATTATAGAAAGGGATTTTTTTATTAATAAAGAAATTGAAACTTCAGTTTAAAGATCATCTAATATTTCTTAATGCATCATACACATAGCTGGCAATAGGCATTTTCCCACTGATGCAATCTCTGTGGATCCTAATTCTCTGCCTACGCCTTTCTAAATCTGCTTCCAATGCTTGCTTTAAAATCTAAAAGTTTTGCCATTTCTAGATTTTGTTTTTCGATGTGTTACTAATTAGAAAGTCTGCCACATCAGCTCTGTCCTTTACTATATATTTCATATTGCTTCTGAAGTTCATATTACTAAAGAAATAAAATTAGCCGCTTTTTCTGTACTTCTAAATGCATTTTTAGAATAACGGAAAATCCTTAATTAAATACAAAATTAAAAATGAAAAGGAAACGTGTTGAAGAAAGAAACTGGGTACATAAGGAAATTATTCTTCAAAGATATGTGCAGTTATTATTTGTAAATTACCCAATGTTTGATTTCAATCTTTACTATAATTTCCAATTTCTATTTCCTCATATGATAGAGTTATTGAGCCAGATTAAATTACAATTAAATGTATAATCTTGACCACTAGTCCACATATTAATTTGAATTTGATGTTCTTGTTAATTACGTCACTGTGAGCTGTAATTGATTTGTTAGCATCAGAACATGCCTTTAGTTCTAAGTTCTTTTTAAATAAGAGGCTTATTTAAACCTTTGTCTGATATTGTAGTTAATTTCAACTAAGCGATATAATGCTTCACGTTGTCAGGGTTTTGGACTATTAAATTTTACCAGATCAATTAAACCCTCATAGGTACATTATTGAGAGATTGATAGGTTAGGAGATGAAGCACGCAGAAACTAGAGAGCACTGGTTTGCATATGAGACAAATCTCTAATTGTTAGAAAAGATGCTTAAAAGAGAAGGAAATCAATATAAACGTTCAAATATGACCAACTATCATAAATGTAAATATTTAATGCTACTTGATAATTTGCATAGTTAGTTATCTCAACTATTAACAATTATGTTAATTAATTCATGTTTAGTAATAATGCGTACTACTTAGGGATCTATTTTATTTTTAGGATGGTATTATAAAAGTGAAATTCAGGCATAGATAATATCTTCAATTGAATTTATTCAGTTCCCGTTTGCTCATATGTCCTTATTTTTTTTTTTTTTTTTTTTTTTTTTAATGGTTCTTAAAAGTATTTAATTTCCGTGTGCAGAAATGTGTACGAACCCTGTAAAAGCAAAGCTAAAAAAATTCAACAAGAAAATCTGTGAAAATAGGAAAGAGAGGGGTTAGATATTTTGACTATTGATAGCCGTGTCCCTGTGCTGACATTTTGATAGCAGGAAAAATATATTTCAGGGTCTTCCTTGGCAAAAATTGGCAATTATTTTGGCTCCATTCCTGTTTATGTGCAGTGCTCTTCCAAGTAAAATGGTGTCCAAAACATAATGCAATAAAGCATAATTAAAGCATAAAAAAAAAATTATCTCAATGAACTGCATTTTAAATCAAAGTAAAACAAATAAGTATCATGAAAATGGAAATACATGTTATCTAATCTGTGCAGTACAAAAAAGTAATATAAATGTACTTTATTTAGAAATTTGTGTCTTTGGTATATAGCACACAGAATTCCTTAACAGTATTCAAATTTCAGCTTTGTTTAAAATCATCTCAACTAGAATCTGTGTACTCTCATCACCACATAAATTCACAAAAGTAAGAATCAAAAATATCCTTCAGAGTGCTGCATTGTCGGTGGCATTTCTTTCGAAAATCCCTTCTTATTAAATACCACATACATTCGATATTGTTGATATGAGCTCCAGTTTCCAAATATGACTGTGTAGTTTACTGAGAGGAGAAAGAAGCCATTATCAGAAAGACAATTGTACGACTTCCAGCAATTGGATACAATCATTGCTGCAGGTAAGATATTTCATTAAATTACGATTAAACCTTCACATACACACCAGTCAATCAGTGCTTTCTTTTCCTTTTGTTCCAAATCGTACAGAAACTTCAGATTAATCTTATCACCAGTAGCCATTTTATGGTGTAAAGCACAAAATAAGCAATCCAACGCAGTTGCGCTCCTAACCAACATTAAACGCAGAAATGAGCCCTGAGAAATATTCTCCCAACAATCAAATTCAGTGCTGTGATCACGCATTACAGCCAATCACAACGTGATAAGGTTCAACCAATAACATCATGATAGAACTTCCAAACAACAACTTTGCAATAATCCAAGTGGTATCTCAAAATATAGACTACTCTTTATAGCCATCGTGAGAGAAAGATCAATTAAAAAAGGACAGTTCTAAGGAATGAGTTGATCCGAGACTGGACGCTTTTTATCTCCCATTTCATTTAGTTGCATCCAATAGAAGAGTGCATACACCTGTAAGAGTCATAAATACTGTTGGAGTATTCTTCTGAGCTTGATTCTGGGGCTATATTTCACATCTGGCCTTCACAGCTTCCTTCCATTTTTAACCATAGATATTGAAATCACTGTATATGACACTGTGTATGACTCTGTTTTAACTTCATTATCCTGTGACATCATTTTTATATTTCAAGAGATCATGGCATCAAGAAAAGTGTGTTTATACAATTTTATTTGAAAACAGATAAATAATAATGATGCTGTAGGTGAGCGATCATGAAAGCTGCAAGTATCCAGAGGTGTAATTGTAAGATGCTTTTGTGGTCGGTAACTTTTCAAGGATTAAGCAAAATTTGCACACAACATTTATTACGATGATAATGCACAATGCACAACACCACCTTTAAGATGGCATCTAGGTAAAGTTATTAATGTTTACTTAGGATCTGATGGAAAAGTGCGACTTAAAAACTATTAATGGTGTAATTAACGCCCTATTAACAAACTCTCACCATTACCATTTTGCCATCATGAAAATTTATTGGCAGCATTAAGAAGGTTCATAGCCTGTCTGTTTACCCAGGATCTGATGGAAAAGTGCAACTTAAAAACTATTAATGGTGTAATTAAATGCCCTATTAACAAACTCTCACCATTACTATTTTGCCATCATGAAAATTAATTGGCAGCATTAAGAAGGTTCGTAGCCCATCAGGGAGAAAACTGCAAGAGATGTTTTCTGATCAAGGGACTAACTTTGTTGGTGCAAATCGTGAATTAAAAAGAATTATGGCATCCATTTTATCATCAGAAAAGTTCCAAAACCAGTTAACACAAGAAAACATTGTTTTGAAATTCAGTGCTCCCTCCACTCTGCATTTCAGGGGTCTTTGGGAGAATGACATTAAGCAAATGTAAAATCACTTAAAACGTACAGTAGGAGCTCAACTGCTCACATCTCAATTTCTTACCTTGATAACTCAAATTGAAACTTTCCTAAATTCCAGACCTATAGTGACAATTTCCAATGATCCCAATGACTTAGGTACTTTAACACTTGGTCACTTTCTTATTGGAACCGCGCTAACAATTATTCCTGTACCAAATGTGATTGATGATAAGGTAACGCCTGTAGAACATTGGAAACTGATTCAGCAACTTTTTCAGCACTTTTTTAAAAGGTGGTCATCCAAATATCTCTCCCAATTGCAAGGACGAGCAAAATGGCTAAGGAACAAACCAAACTTAAATGCCAATGACTTGGTGCTGGTAAAAGATGATAACTTGCCACCTATTCCAGAGTGGGCCTAAAGGATTTTAGCCCTTTCCCCGCTTCAAGATATGCGTCTGCTGCTCACGATGAGTTACAAGGTCCAAACGCGCCACCTATAGTATCTCATTTCATAACAGATGCAATAGGAAAATTTAAATATTTTATGTCTATTCGTTTAAACTTTTGTGTGAATGACTGATGTGAGTTTGGTGGCATTTGTGCCAGCTTTCATGCTTTGACAAATTTTATAGTCATATAAGATGTTTTAATTTTCATAAGTTTAATGCCTACAAAATATGTCATCTTTAATGTGTATGTTTTTTAATTTAACATAATTTTAAAATTCTAGATGGAAATTTTTTTCTTTTATTTATTTGTCTACTGTAAATTCCACATTTTATACACTCAACTATCCAGAATTTTCAATTACCTGACATTCAGTATTCCCTGAACTTTCTGAATACTTTAGCTTTTACTGTATAGTATTTTTTCCCACATCTAAATATTGAAATAAAGAGTATGCACTATTTTTTACTTTTCTCTTTTAAGACTTGGCAAAGTATGAAAACAGCTTAAGTGCACTTTTCTTTTGATTTGTTAATTATTTTATAATCAGAACCTCTTTCTGTATTTGATGAACATTTATTTAGGTACAAAAAAGCATTTATTTTATAAATTTCTTTCCCATTTTTGAATTTCATGTTTGTGTCTAATATTTCTGTAAAAACACTCTCTGCAGCATGTAACTGAAACAAATCCACTTCCTTGGTCCTATGATTTAAATATTTGTAATATATCATTCACAAAATTTTAATTCATTGAACATGCTTTTAACATTTATATCCTCTTTAATCCACCCCCCCCCCAGTTCTATAATTTATTACAGTTTTAAAAAGTATTAAGATCATTCAGTTAATAAGTTTCCTCACTATGTCAGATGGTAATATGATGCATGAATAGTGAATATTGTATGACAACTGGCATGTATTTATATCTGAATATAATTCTCATGAAATGTTATTTCATGAGTGCTTTAACCCTTTCAAGATTAAAAATTAAACTGCCTTGAGACCCCATTAGCCTCGAAAGTGTTAAAATATGGAAGAGAAAAATAATAACATCTTGAAAGAATGTTGTCTTTAAAATCTTAAGAACAGATTAGCTTCTTAACAGATCTCATCCTAGAGCTTCTTAAAAGCATAGTTTGCGATCAATGTCTTTGCTCTGAAAACATTTCATTTTTTAATCATTGGAATAAGAAAAGGTGATTTTAAATGAAATCAGTGTTATATGGAGTATAGAGCAATTGTTTAAGAACTCAAATTTAAGTTTTCTAATGTTGGTTTGGCAAAGCTGAGACACTATGCTAGAATATGTGCAGGAAATTACAAATTTCTATCAGCTCAAGCTTAATACACAGTATTCATCAGTGTGTAGGGTAATTATTATTTTACTTAAGTTATTTATAATTCCACCCTGTACTATCACTTCTCCTTTCCATTTCCCTATCGGAATGCAAATAGTTTGAGAGTATTTAAACTGAGGTTTACACATTGTAAGACAAAGTGTGTTTCTGCCTCTTAAAGCCACATTACTAAGTTTTGCTAGCTCAGATAAGATAGTAATTCCTCAGGTGTGCGTTATTGCTGCTAACATTTAAACTGTTATACCAATGAGAAGTTTTGAGCTAACTTCACATTAAATCAGCTATGTAGTACTTGACTAATAGATTTAGTTTTAATTTGAATGTAACTGTTACTTTGAGTTGTCTCTCTAAAGTTGGCAGTTGAGTTTGTCAAGCACGAGAAGTGTATTTGATGTTCAAGTTCTGATTTAATAGAAAGGTTTGTTTTTAAACCATAAGAAATTTCAGTTCTTCTAAGACACTAGACTTAGTTTATGCTACTAAAGAACGCCAAACTCTGTAAATGCTTTGTTCTGAAACCAATCAATCTAATACATTTTTTTATCCAAAGGGCAATATTGAAATAATTAGAACAAAAAGTAATTTGAAGAATGTGAATTGTCAGTTGAGTCAATATCATAAGCCCTTGTATAGGTATGAAGTCGTTTTCTAAAGCCTGTTTTTGTTTATTGTTTAGCTATGTACATATATGCATGTAAAATATAAAGTATTTAAATCTCCTTTTAAATTTGGGTATTTCCCCCTTCTGTTCTAAAAACGATAACTGCTTATAATAAATCTATCTGAACTGAATCATTTTAAAATAATCCATATCATATGATTCTTGTATAATGCTAATGATCCAGGTATTTACTTAATTGTTCAATCAATGGTAATTTTATAAATTTTTTATTAACCAATCAAAATAAAGCTGAACCAAAACTAAATCATTGCATACGGAGATTTTATCTTGAACATGTCACATTCTCTATCTTGCATCTCATCTGGCAGCCTGCTTGTGCTCTGTGACTACAGTGTTTGTATTATGTCAAATTTATTTGCTGTGAATGTATAAAATAGGCACAAATGGTGATCAGAAATGGATGCAGATTATACCCATTGCACTGTGTAATTTAAATAACAGATGTGCTAATCAAGCAATAAAATGTGTTCAGCTAGTCTTGGTTGACTGCTACTATTTTTATATCAACAGCTTTTAAATTGTTTCATGCATAAATACTAGAACAAAAATACTCATTAATTGCATGATTTTCATGTGATATTTGAAAATGAATTTGCTGACTAAACACTTTTCAACATGTGTTACTGACTGTCATTTAGAAATTTTAAATGAATTTTTTGGAGTACTTAAAAAAGTTATTCATTTTGACAATTAAGTTTCAGTTTATATTGCATAAAACAGCAGTTTTCATTAAATTTGAATTTGGTTATATCAAAATACTGTGGATGTATCTTCAAATTTTGCATGTAAAGATATTGAACTCTTTTTTTTTTTTTTTTTTTTTTTTTTTTTTTTTTTTTTACTTATCAAAGTAAAATTAATGTCTTGGCAATTTGCATTTTTATTGTCCAGAGATCATGTGAAAAGATACTATATATTTATAAAATTCTCCTGCTCACAGTTTTAGTCTCATGAAATTGTGTACTTGGAACTAATTAGATCTATGCATTATGTTCAGCATATAAGGAAAAAAGTCCTGTAGTCACCTTTTTCAAACATCCTGTATAATAATTTTTAAAAAAATAGAAAAATGTAAAAATATAAATAAGTTAGGATTTTAAATCCATCCTTTAAGTATATTATTTTTATTTTTCATTGATGATGCTTTAGATTTAAACTGATGATGAGTTTTAAATTAATTTTTAGAATCTAATCAGCAAACCTCCTCTCTCCAACTTCTTAAAGAAGATAGCTCTGAAATGTTTTCTTGTAATTCATAACACTAATTTTTATGTTTATTTTGCAGAATAGTTCTTGAAGCAGATTCTACATCTGTAGTCCAGAGAGTAGCTGTACGATCAGATGATATACCACTTGGTGAACAAACAGTAGCACAGGTATATATGTTGTGTGTATATGTATTTTTAATATTTAATATATAGTTTTTATACATATAATTAAAGTACTGTATATCTCCAAATCTAAGACCGTACTTTTTTCCTCTAAATTTTCTGTTGAAAAACAGAGGGTTATCGTACATTCGCATCATATGATGTGGAGATTTCTTTTTTTTTTACTGAACAGTACCATATCATATGACTGCTCATTATTTTTTATTAAAATCACTTCAATTGCATATATTTTTATTATGTTTTTCAAATTTATGTTTATTTGAGAGTTCAAACATGTAAGTCATTTTTGTAACCAAGAATAATTTAGTATATATTCTATGCATAAGAATAGGCTTTGATAAAAATAAATTTTAAGATCAGTCATGTAAAGACAAAAATTCTGAAAATATATCTTGATTAAATTAGGATTTACTTTATAGAATGCAAATGTAAAGTGTGTATACTAATGAAAATATTCAATGTTAACCTAAATTATAATAGAAATTAAGTTTAGTGCAGTAAATTTAAGACAAGGATCTAAGCAAAATTCTACATCACATTCTTTGCTAATGTTTATGATAGTTACAGTATTTTTTGGAGCAACAAACAGCACTCTACATGTAAGGCTCATTTTCTTGGGATTAGGAATATGTGGCTTGCAGAATGTTGAGTTATCAATCTCAAAGGGTGTAAGAAATAGGTCTTCTGAATGTACCATATGCTTCTATGCAAATACGAAAATTTAGACGTCAGTAATGCTATCCATTAACCAAAACATGACTCAGAATCTAAATATTGTAAAAAATGCATTTTCAATGATTAAATGAAGGAAAAGAAGGATGCACTTTAGATAGAAGAATGCACAGAGAGGGAAAAGTTGCATATCCACGAAAATTGTGGGCTGAGCATTTTTTTTTTTTACTTTCATACTGCTTTTGAAATTGTGAGTTAAGCATTTAGAGGGTTAATCTCAAACTCTGCTCTCTCCTATGCATACCATTTCCCCACTTGAACATTTGGATGTGTTTGATAGCCCTGAGGGATTATTGTGGTAAACATTTTTCTTATCAGTTACTGTGAGACATAGATTTCACCTCTGAACTTCACAGTTTTTCAATGCAATGTCACAGTTGTACTAAAAAAAAAATGGTACATATATATTCTCTTCTTATCTTCATTTTACAGAAATACAGTATGTAATGAATTCTAGTATTGAGCAACAAGATTCAACATAGAACTTCCCAAGAGAGTACAGACATTACTGTGGTACAGATTTCAAAATCATAGTTATTCAACATGTAGAAGCAATAAACAATTGTGTGGCATTGATGAAGCATCATGTCACAGAAACTAATGTTAAGATGTAGCAAAAGAATAAAGAATGTCTTAAACTTGCTCATTTGACTAGAAATATATTCAGTGGCTCTTAAAGTGGATGTTTTGAGAATGTTGAAAACTAGGTAATGAATTGCATTTGTGCATAAGAAATATAGAGGAGGACTAGTTGTTTCCTTTGTCATTATATAAATTAAAGCATATGAAATTGCACCAAAGCATGGTATCAGATTTAAAACCAGTTCTGGGTGGTGCACAAGGTTGATGCAACACAATGGACTTGTGCTGCAACACTGAAAATCTCTTGCACAGTATCTTACAGCAGCATTTGAAGAGAAGTGATAGATTATAAGGTTGAGAAAGGAACATGATTACCTTTGGGGCAAATTGAAAATGCTGATGAGACTTCTGTTTATTTGAATATGCCATCCTAGTATAATCCTAGTTGAAGATAAAGAGATCAAAAGTGTTTTTTTAATCTAATGGCAGGCACTTGCCTACTCAGTACTGGCCACTTCTTAGGCCAGAAGTGGTGTCTATTGAATTGTGAAGGCACCTAACAGGCAGCAACTGTTGCCTCCTATGAAGTTACGGACTCTTACAATCATGCCTTCTCCGGGAATTGAACTCGGGCCCTGTGGTGCCGCTGTATGTCCCCTAACCACTGTACCATCTGGATTGTGAGATCAAAAGTGTATTGGTTAAAATTTCAAAATTTCTGATTATTTATACATAATGAGAAATTTTGAAGTCAGGAGCACAGTCTGGAGCAGACTACGTGCTCTCCTAAACAAACAGAAGATGTTGATCCTCTCTTTGGAGATCTCACACATCCATTAAAGAAGAAATACTGAAATTAATCAGAGGTCTTCTCATCATTCAGGAGATATCACTTCACTACTGTAAGGCGTTAGATGTGATGGCGAACAAGTCATTTAAAGACCATCTGAAGAAGCTATACAGCAGTTAGTTATTTCAAGGTGGTTGAGTCTTAATCTCTTCTAAAAAGTTTTTTAAAAAAAAGCTTTCAGTGTCTCTAATTGAGAAATGGATCCAAACTGCTTAGACATGCATTTCTAGTGTACCGATTGATCAGCGCCGGCACTAGATTATCCAACGCTTGCCTGCAAAATAGCTGATGTCACGCCCCGCCCCTTTTTAAAAAAATTTTTTATAGGAAAAGGAAGTTTTGAAGAAAGCATTTGTTAATTTTTTTAACAGTTTATCAAGAATAATTTATTATTCTGCATTTCATATTTACAAATCTTTCTATAATTTCTTTATTTATGAGTCTTTCCTGCGATATATCTGACCGTAATTATGTCTTGATCAATTTTAATTTGAAATAAATTTTCGCTACTAGCAACACTAACGGAAATACTAAGTGCTATTCTTAATATCATCTTCAAGTTCAGGAAGCATAAATTGTTTGATACAATTAAGTTCAGAGTATCAAATGGGTCATTATACTGGTTGTAAAAATGTCTTTCAAAGCTACTGTTTTGTCATAAAGGTGTTCTGTGTTAATATCTTTACTGTCATCCCACTGTAACAATTTTTCTAATTTACAGTATTTTATTTTCAAATTTGCAGTATCGATTTCTGATAAATTACCCAGGAAACTAAAATTATCACGGTGATTTTTCATTGAATCAAATCTTTCATTTAATGATGTCCAAGCAATATTCAGAATTACAAAAAAGACATTTGCCTTAAACTTCTCTTCTGGAGATTGAGGGGATTTTTCAGCATGTTCATAATCGAGGTGGCATTTCTTTTTCCATCGTCGGACTTCTTCAACAGTTTTAAACTGCGGCTCTCTATAAACTTCTTAAGTTGTTTGGCTTTCTTGAGAATACTTTTGTAATTGATGTATGTCATTTCTATATTCTTCAATGAATGTTTTTAAGTTACTTATTGCCTTTAAGGCTAGTGTAACACGCAAATCCTTTTCTTACAGTTCTTTGCAGAAAGATTAATTCTGTTAAGCACATTATGCCAAGTATCAAGGAACAAATCAATTTATAATCTTTTATTTTGGCTCACGGACTTCGTGCTTCATGTTGCACTTCTTCTGAAAAGCATTAACCTTCCGATATTTCAAAAAGAGCGTCATAGATGTTGATATCTTAAAGGTCGAATGGATTCAATTTTGCTTTCCCATCGAGTGTTTAGAGGGGTTTTAAGGTTAAACAGGAAATGCTTTTAAAAAGAACTGACCATCTCTCGTGAGAAGAAGAAAATATATTGTATAATTCTTGAACTGGAAGGAAGAAAAAAAAGTAACTGTATCTGCATTCACCTTTGCTGCATTGTTAATCATTATATTTAAAATATAAGCGCCACAAGGAACATAAAATGCACAAGGATTTATTTTTTAAGATATTATGCTGAAGATCATTATTCTTCCCTTTCATATTTTTGCCGTTGTCATATCCCTGGCCTCTCATATCATCAAGGGGAAGGTTCCACATTTTCAACATTTTCATTACTGTTGCTCTTTAGGTCATTACCTGTAGAATCATCAACTTTAATAAAGCCTAAAAAATGTTCCTTGATTTCTGATACTCCATTATTGCAGAGGACAAAAACGTAGGACGACATTCATCTGTTCAGTTTTGTTAATATCGGGAGTACAGTCTAAAATTATAGAATAACACTTGGCCTTTGGAAGAGGTAATAAGATTTTGTCTCTTATACCATTGCCAATGATTTGCAGCATTTCATTTTGACTCACTTTGTTTAGATAATGACTTTCCTACTGCTACCTTTAAGTTGTAATACTCTTTCTATGTGAAATTCCATAACTAGATTGAACTTTGCAAACAATTCCATTAATTTTAAGAAGTTTCCATTGTATTTTTGGTACAGCTCATCAGATGAACCTTGAAAGGCTAAATTCTTGCCGCCAAGAAATTTTGTGATCTCAATCAGTCGTCCTAACACACTTGTCCAATTTTTTTGTTTAATTTCTATACATCTCTTGTGTTTGGGAATCAAATGTTTTATTTTCAAATTTTTCTCAAGCTCTTTCCATTTCGAGAAATATTTCATATGTGCTGTATGCAAGGTTTTAGATACATTTATCCAATCATTATAGCTTTTTACGAGGCTACTACTGTCAATCAGTGAAAATATCTTGCAACAGAAACAAAAAAACAGAATTGTTACTTATGGAATATAATAGCCATGTACAGGGAACTAATTCTCCATTTTTCTTTGTACTATTGTATCACTAAATTTAAGTCTATTATTACTTTTCGGATACATTAAACTTTTTTTTGAATAGGCTCCCATTTTAGACATTCTTTGTCATGAGTTGGCCGCTTTTTAGCATCATCAAAATTAATATATGAGGAAAGGAATATCATTTATGCCAGTCTCTTCCATCGAATTATCTGGATAATCATTAATTTCCGATTAATTTAATTCCATACTTCAATCATCATTCCCTTCGTTTGGCGTTTCATCAGTCCTTTCAATAACTTCATCCAGTGTAGCTGATGTTCTTTGACAGATGATGTCTGTTCTTTTGTAATTGATTCTAATGCTGATTCAAAGCTAACATCATTTACATCCGAAGTAGTCTTCATCTTCTTTATGAAATGAGACATTGTGTCTGCCTGCTTCTGAAGGTCAGTATCTTTCTCAACTTTGCATTTGATTCTGCGGTTTCTTCTTTGTTTCCACATAATCAAAATTTCACTCTCAAATTTAAATTAAAAAATTCAATTCTAAATATTAAATATCTAATCTTTCTTTTAAAATAAACCATGACATCTGCTAAATTTAGAATAAAGATGAAAAATATAAAAAAAAAATTTTGAAGGTAATGAAAAACTAAAAAAAATAACCTTTAACATAACTTTTTCGAGCAGCTGGTGAAAAATTAGCATCTTTATAACAAACGATACGGAAATGTTTGACCTTGTGATAGGTCATACTTAAATGCTTGCCAAGAGCTCCGTGTACAATGACCCCAAAACCTCTCTTCTCCCCAAACACCAGCTAAGTCTTACGTCAATCCATCTGTACACCACCACGACAGCATTGAATACAAAACAAATAGATGCCAGCTCACGACAAATGTTAACCACATAATAATGCCCTTTTAAATATCCTCCCCCACTACATTCAACAGCTTTATGTGAAGTTGCCGTACATATCTTTCTTTTTGATGTCGCACTGTACTATTGCATTACCTTATATAATTGAATTATTGTGAAATTCTAATGTTGATTTTTGTTTATCAGTATCCTCAATTTTGTAAATGCTTCCAATGTTTTATTATATTGTTGTTATTCGTTTTAATATATCACCTGTCAACAAAAGCCAGATTTGTAAAAAAGCATCACAGACAAAATCATGGATGTTTGGACATGTAATTCATAGACAATATCTAAAAACGTCACTTCTCCAAAATTCTCATCAAGATGGAATCAACAGATGCTGTTACGGAAGAGCAGCAACCAAAGGGTCCGATTTTCCTGATGGAGGAATACAACCTCTAAAGTCTTAGCAACAGATAGAACTATCCTCGTGTGGTATTTTGAAGTTCAATTTTCTATGTAACTATTATTCGCACATTTTGAAGAAACAACCATTAAAAATGCCCCTAAAATTAAATTCAACATCTGAAATGTCTTCTAGTCGAGCAGATTCAGATTTTCTCCAAAGAACGAGAGGAAGGTGGGACAATGCATACGAGACACGTAATCGAAAAATTTCAGAGGATGAAAGTGCAAAATGTTTTGCTAATATACAAAAAATATATGTTTACAACTGGCATGAATTCTGCTGTGTGTTTTAAACCCAAGCTTAAATGACCAATGTAGACAATTCTGTTTTTAGCTCAAAGGAACTAAAGAAATTTTTGAAATTTCAACCGTTAACGAGAAGGACAAGGTCTTCTCCTCATAGGATCTGATGCAGCATTCCCAGAAGGGTACAGGATGAAGTCCCATAAGTCAACTTAATATTAAAAATCTAATAAAGATTCTCAACATTTTACGAAAATAGCTGAATTTAAAACTTTACCTCAGGTGCTCCTACCTACGTGCCGAATGGGTAAGCTCCTCAAGCGGCTTTTTATATCCGTTTTGTCTTTCTGTGCAAACACGTGCATGAACACATCAAGATGCTTAATTGAGAGTCTAGTCATTAAATAAATTATATAAACGTTGAGAATTTGGTCTAAAACCGATGCTACCCATTTTCCCACGAAAGAGGAAAATAAATCCTCTATACGGCTTTGAATTTTCGTCCATGCAAATCTTGCCCCCCCTCCAACTCTCATAAAGAAAATGAAAAGTTGGCACCTGTGTTCATTCATACATATGGGGAAATGACAAATTTGTCCCCATAGAAAGGGCTAATCAATTCCCCTCCTTCCCACCCTGAGAAAAATTTTCTAGGGGGAAAAAAAGCAGTATTTCACTGTACACATTTTAAATAAAAATATAATAAAATAGATTAAATAAGGATAAATAGAAATTATATTAAGTAAAATAAAATAAGTATGTACTTCCTCAAATGGATTTTTCTTTTCCAATAGTAGTAAGGTTATTTTATATCGAAAATTTTCATCGCCAACCACTCAATACGCAGAAGGAATGTAAAGATGATATATAACACGTGGCTTTCTAGACACATGGAAAATTACCATTATGTGGTACTAGGTGCTCAAAAAGGTTACTTTGAGTAGCGCACAATGTCTGTGCGTGTAGTCGGTGTACGGTATTACCTAGATTAAACTTGCTTACAGCTTGAATTCCGATGGCTTTTGGAACTCGAACATCTTTGTGTGACACTGTACCTAACGACTGATGGTTGGGTGGCAAAGTATTTGTGTGGGCTTCAGAGGAAAGGTGAGGGGTGCAAACACCCATGGTCCCTGTCCGTGTAGCATTCAAGGTACATTTATTTTTCTTCTGCGGTAAGTGCACATCCTTTTGCGTTAAAACAAAAAAAAACACCTCTTTGTCATTGGCTAGTCGGCGCCCACCTGCGAAGAAGGCCTTGCAGGTCCGCTTCTGCCAGCCCTGCGATTGTTAATGGCTTTAATAATAAATGCATTAGATGGGAGTAAAAACAATTTACCAGAGGAAGAGGAACATGATCACAATGATAGTGCTACCTCAGATTCTATGGACCATTCTATTAAGGAGGACTAACCAACGGAGTCCTGAAGTTATAAGTTAAAAAAAAAATACCCAATATGTACTCTACAGATTTTTCTGTAATCTATTTAGGAAATCATTCAGCAAGTTCATTCATAATGAGGGATGATTTCTTGTCCAATGATTTTTTTTTATATAACTCTTAGATTATGACTGAGGTAATGAAATTGCATTTGAGTTAATGCATTTTCAGCATTCGAAAACTTTAACTGCTTTTGTGAAAATGGCATATCACATGTAACAAATTATAAATTAATGAATTTTACTCACTAGTAAATCACAAAGGAATATTACTGAATGACATTAAAAAAAATAAATCACCTTCAAATTATTCTAATTTATTTTTTAAATGACATCTTATGAGAAGCTTCTCCCCCTAAAAAATTTGCAAACATCCTTAATTTCAAAATTAAAAATCTTGGTTGGTGATTTTTTAACTTGTTGATTTTATTCCTCTTGATATCCTACAAAATTTGCTCATGTTTTTCTGTTATTTCCAGGTTTTGCAGTCAGCAAAAGAACAGTTGAAATGGTCATTATTAAAGTGATTTTGTAGTTGCATATTCATGATTTATTTCATAAATGTATCATTTTTGTATTTTTCAACAGTTATTACATATATATATGTTTCTGGATGTAATTAAAATGTTCTATTTAGAGTTGTGTTTTTCTCAGTTATTAATTTTGATTACATATTATTAAATTTAATGATCTGAAATCATATATTTTGTAAAATTATATTTGGATCTTTTAATAATTTTGATGTCTCTCTGCATTATTTTTTTTTTAAATTTCCAATGGCAGAGAAATTTATTTCCAAGCAGTCATGATCAGTTGCAAGCCTAAAACTGGCTTTAGCTCTTTCCCGTGGTTTGTCTAGTAATTTCCTTTTCTGAAATGTCCCTCCAGCTCTTGGTTGAGACATACATCATATGTTCACCTCTCCATTTTTGTTTCAAAAATTTACGAATGTTTAGTTTCACAAAATGGTATTTTCTTATGTAGTTCCACTATACTTATAATACCTTTACTCTGTTTGACAATAATAAAGATGATTAATAAAGATTCTCGTATAAAACAAGATCGGTTTAATCCTAATATAGGGTACTATGGAGGTTAGAATAGCCTCCATATATGCTAATCTAACCTTCATGTACCATATACACTGGATTTGGCGGCATTATAATAAGCAGTAAACAGGTCATTTTGGTGTTGGCGACAATATTTATCATTTTGCAGTAAAATAAAAAAAAATAGTAATCACCTAAGCTAACCATTTAATATAACTATATTTGCCAAAGTATCATTAATTATTCTAACTCAATTTTTAAGTAATTATCTTTATTTTAATGTTATTCATATCATTTAATGTTGCTTCTTTCCTCTAAATTTATTTATTATTAGTAACTAGTACTGTCAAATTTCAGGAAATTTTCTCAGGCATAATCCTGAAACTAATTCTAGCAGTATGATGACATACCACCACGAAATTTAATCCACATATTTTTTTGCTTATATATGCTGCTAAGTAAATATTAAATACTTGGATTTATTTTAAAAAATATCATTAAATAGATTTCTTTCTTTTAACTACAAAATGTCTTTTAAAAAAGGATATTTTTTAATCCAGATTGGGCAGATTTTAATCTCAATCTTCAGCAGAGAAAACAACTGCTGTTATACTGCTATAAATGTAATGCTTTGGGGATTATATATACAAGTCATATGTAATTGGCAAATTTTTGTGTTTTCAAATAGTACCATAATTAATTTACCTCTTAGCACAGCCAATGTGCATTACACAGATAGAGTGTAATTTTCTTAAAACACACCTGGAAAAGTAAGGGAATTTCATTCTTCTGTTTGAGTGGCAACCCTGTTTTGAACTTGAGACATTCCATTCCTTAACATCTTTGTCACATACAATTTAACATCCAACTTCAGTAATACTGTTTACTGTAATCCTTCATTTGTTTGTCTTCCACCATACTTCAGATCATTTCATTCAACTAAATAAAAGTTAGCTTCATTTTATTCCTTCGTTTTCTGAGCACTTCAAGTTTGCTGCTCCAAATTGTCCCTTGATTAAGAACTAAACTACTTTAAAGCAGTTGCTCTTGACAGAAGATTTTCACCTAACATTATTGACCAAGCAGTTAAAAAATTATCATCTCAACGCAACAAATAACACTTTCTCATTTTAGGAGATTATAGACTTTCGGGTGGTTTTCTCTTCAATCAATAAAATTAGCAGTTCCAACTTTAAAGACCCATGAACATCTGGGGAATATACAGGATTCCTGTTATTGTAGTTTAATTTATTTTGGTCAAATGAACAAAACCTTAAAATTTCACTCTAAGGAACATGAGGCGTATGTTAAGAAAAAAGAAACAAATAAATCCTCTGTTGTTCAGGAAATCTCTTTTTCCATTTTTCAGTAGCCAAAATTATTCAAGACACATCTTCTGTTGGCAAATTAGATTTTCTAGAAATGTTTCAGGTTAATAAAAGTCTTTGAGTTCTAGTTAATGATTCTAATTACCATCTATCTTTTCCTTCACTTTTTAAAGAAATTATTTCATGTTTGCTTTCATTTTTCATCAATAGATCCCAGAGTACCTTGATTTCCTTCCTCTCTTTGTTATGTCCTCAGCATAGGCTGCTCTTTTATCATTTGCACTTCTGCAGTTGAAGATTCGATATTTAAACCTTTGAAACTATTTCTGAGAATTTATAAATATTATGCTGATTATAGTCACTTTAACATCTTCAACAATCATTATTCAGCATGTTATTTTAACTCAGATATCTATGCCTTATTTAAGTCTCAATAGTTACTTATATATTTTTATATATATGTAAACACAAAGTTGTTGCAACAATTGATTCGTGTTGGGATTGCAAATTGTAGATTTAATTTGCAATCTTTGACTTTTATTCTATTTAATATATATAACTGTTTAAAATATTTTTCTTTTAATCATTTTTTTATTCTACTGTTTCTTCTGATTATTTGTTTTTCATTTAATCAGTGTATTGATAATCATTTCATTTGATCGGTGTATTTCCACAATCAGTGTATTGATAATCATATGAAATATATATCATTTGCGCAATACCAACCTGCAGTATGAAGCATCTTCCTGCAAAAAGACTATTTTAAAATTTTCTTGAATTGTGTCTGCAATTTTGTAACCTTAAATTTCTCCTTTGCCATTTTAAATTTAATGCAGCTAAAATTTTTAATTCATGTTGCCAAAAAGAGCATACCTTCTTGAAAGATGAACTCTTGTGAAAATGTGAATAAAACATTGACTGAAAATAAATATGTTGCTGAACTATAATTACCAAATAAAATAACTGAAAGTCATACCTGTATATGCATACTAATTAAGATTCAACATGCTTCTGGAGATTTGAAAATTTCCATTTGTGATCAAAAATCACAAAATAGTGCTACATTGCTAGATATCATTAAAATACATATTTTAAAAGTATCTTATTTTAACAACTAATATTTATATCATTGTATGTTTTTATATGAGTAGATTGATGTATGTATTTGAAATTATATATATATATATATAATTGGTAGGCTTTCCTTCTAAGAACACTCAAAATATCTGGTTGTAATGAAAGTTTTTCGCCAAAGAAACTTCTTAATAAAGTTAAGGGAAAAAAACATGAAAGCAGTACCTTTAGTTCGAGTAGTAATCACCACCCAAATCTATGATTTTCTGCCAATGTTTTGGTAGTTTTTCAAAGCCCAGAAACAGATCATCTTCATTTCAGGTGTCCTGTGCAGAATGCAAGATAGTACCAGCAAGAACAAAATTCTGGTCAAGATCTTCACTTGTAATGAAAAGTGGATTTACTTCAACAACACGGGCTGGAAAGGGGGTTGGTCTGCACCTGGTAAGCCCATTAGCAGCATTTCAAAGCACAGCTTGTCTAACAAAAAAAATCATCCTCTGTATCTGGTGAGATTACCATGGTATTATCCATAAAGAATATCTGGAAAAAAGTAAACCCCCTCGACAGTAAGGTGTATAGCGATTTGGTAATCTGTGTTGATGCTGCTATCAAGGGATTAATGTAACTGTACCTACAAGTGTGAAAAAAGGTAGAAATCTGAAGAAGCGTTGTTGAGGCTATATGGTGGTGTGGCAAAAGATCCCATTTGAGTCCATACAGAGTCCGGCTGGTGATTGCAGACACATGGTCTTCTATAATCTTGGTGGAACATTATATTTTGCACAGGAACTCAGTTTGATGTTTTCCCTTGATAGCAGCATCAACACGAATTACCAAATCGCTATACACCTTACTGTCGAGGGGGTTTACTTTTTCCCAGATATTATTTATGGATAATACCATGGTAATCTCACCAGAAAGAAAGGATGATTTTTTTGTTAGACAAGCTGTGCTTTGAAATGCTGCTAATGGGCTCACCGGGTGCAGACCAACCCCCTTTCCAGCCTGTGTTGTTGAAGTAAATCCACTTTTCATTACAAGTGAAGATCTTGACCAGAATTTTGTTCTTGCATTGATATTAGAGCAGGCTCGAACATGTCTATCCGTATCTGCTTGAATCAGCTCATGCAGCATCCAGAGATTGAACTTGTACATCAAGTTTATCTGATGCATAGCCTGGCTAATGGACATGGCACTAATGTCTATAATTTCCTTAGCAAGCTCTCAAGTGGTTGCATACTGATCTTCTTCCACAAGTTCTCGCAGGTGGGCCTCATCGACATCGGTAGGCTGCCAGAGCGCTTTGCTTCTTGAATGTCGTAGTCCTTGTTTTTGAACTTTTGGTACCAAACCTTAACAGTGTCATATGATAAAACATTAGTATCTAAAACTGTACACATAATTCGGTGACATTCTGTGGCTGACTTTTTGTAACAGAACTGGAAGTAAATTATGGTTCTAATCTGGCAGTGTGATAGTTCCATTTCAGACACCTTAATGATATTTTTTTACAACACAGTCAAAGACAAATTTCTTTCTTTCAAATGCCAAAAATCGTTTGACAAATTATGATTAAACACGGCAATGCAAACTGTTTGTGCAGACAATATTTGTGGTGGCGGGGAATTTTTGCTAAAACCCAATATTTCAAGAAAGAAAGCATGGATATATAACATCATAGTGCATAAGACTGGTTAGGTAGATTACAAAAAATGGTGAATGAAAAGTTTTCATGCAATTTGTGCATGTGGCTTAGCTGGTGCTAAATTATAACAACTGATTTCTAGAAAGCATTGTTTTGCGAATTGTAAAATCTTCTACAATATGCATTATACTATACTGATTATAGTTTTTAATGTTAAATGTGAAAATTAAATAAATAATCGGTGTTTCATTGAAACTTATCTCAAGCTGTTTCAAAAAAGTGTGTGTGTGTGAAGGAGTACCTGTAACTTTGGAGGGGAGCATTTGTTTTGCTGTCTGTACCTTTATTTCAACAAAGCTTCTAGTGCTGCCTATTTTTTTTAATTCATTCAAAAAATAAGACATTTTTGAAAAATTCTTTTATATTTTTGTTCTTGATATACAAAGTAACCTGGTTTCACTAAAAAAAAAATTAAAATCACAAAATTGCATGAATTTGCCATCTACACCATCCACAATCACCCAAGAACAACTGAAACTTCAATATACACTCCAACGAAATTAAAATAAAAGAAAGCAAATTCCACAGTTCCATTATGATTCTCGTTATGACAAATAAAGATTATGAATTGGGTCCTACAATTTATTCTCTAAATCCTTTCTTTTAGTAGCATATGTCAGAAACGTTTTTTTTTTTTTTTTTTTTTTTTTGTTAGTAAGACCTTTGAGTAAGAAGGAATTTTGCCCTTTTGGCCATGGTGGAAAGGAAGCTAGCTGCCATAGCCTTGGGCCTGAGTTCAAATCTTGGCTGCCTGTGAGTGCATAGTGTCTTTGTAGTATGGGGGCATTTAAAATACTGCAGAACAAAACATCTCCTCAAGAGGTTAGAGGTAGAAAAAGTCTTGTATTCATCCCCCATCAAAATTGAAATGGAGCTAAACAGTTGCAAGACTGAACAACCAAAAAATGAAAACTTCAGTCGATTGTCTGCACCATCATTGGTGTAAAAGGAAAGAACCACTCATTTACTTGGAGGCCATCTGCAATTAGGTTACTTTGTGACTGCTATTCTAAAATTCCTCAATTCGGTTTTCATATCACATACATAATGAATGTGGATTATGAATAAGCTTAAAAAAACATTATCACCTGAAAGAAATGTAGTGACTAAGAATTTTACTAATTACAAGACACTAAATCAAATAATAAAAATGAAATTTATTTTTCAGATTTATAGTAATCATGATTGTGATAGTAAATTTGAACTTCAACCTGAAAAAAAAATAATAAATAAAAGGTTAATCAAACCAAAGTTATTACAGTTGCATAAGAAAGAATAAAATAATTTGATAAAAAAAATATTAATCTAATTCAAAAGTAAGGATCAGTGTTTGTAGTGTCCTTGCCATTCTACAAAGACTGAAATTTGTTACTTTGAATATCGCAGAACTTCTTAACAGCTCAGCTGGGAACATTTTATTGATCTTCTAAATAATGCTGTAAATAGTATCCACACTTTTAATGAGAGAATATCTTAATAAGTCAGAATGCTAGAAACATTAGTAGAATGGATATTAGAATACTGTTTGGATATCATTAGATTATTTGATTATGGCAATAGGCAGAAAGTTATCTGTCTGAAAGAAGAAATGTATTCACAGAGGATTCTTCAGGAAAATCAGCTTGTATATATGCTGAAAACTGTAGAAGTGCTCAGAAAACAAGTCCATTCTTCAGGAACCAAACCTGTTTCAAGCTACCAGTGTTAAGCAATTACCCACTTGGCTTCTATGCAATAATATTATTTGCACTTTCACATACCTTGTCTATAAAAGTCCTTACTTGGCTTTTATTTGCACAACCATTGGTCATAAAAATGTTTTAAATGCAAAGATTCATATTTTTAAATTTAAAAAATTAGTTATATATGAAATGCAGAATTACATATTATATAAAATCAAACACAAAAAGTATGACACCAGTACAATAAAAATTGACTAAAATATTTGATATTAAAATCAGAAATCATTTTCAGAGGTCCTATACAAATTGAAGAGCGAAATTTCTGCCTTTTATGTAACTAAAATTAAACAAATTTCTGATATGTAATGAGCATTTCTATACAGATTATTATGAAAAATATTGATAAATATAATTTTTGTTATGTTCGTATTATTGCTTCAACTATGATAGTTGGAGGAGATCCCGTCAAAGTTACACCAATCATTCCTTCAGAATTCCGAGCCATACTTTTTATGTGCAACTCTTACAATGAAACATTCTTCAGTCTCTGCACAAACCAGTAAACAGCCTTTGCTGTGGAAGTATACAAAATTTTTTCTCTCATGTCATACTTAACCATCACTGGCGCTGCTTTACGAATTTCAATGGTCGATAGGATTGTAATTTTTTTCAAAATTGATATCGTATAAAATTTGTGTTTAGGGGGGAAAAAAAACAGGCATAAGAATTGATATTGTATAAAATTTGTGTTTAGGGGGGGGGAACAGGCATAAGAAGAAATAGTATTGGCATGTAGCAAACTCAGAATATTATTTGCATTCATTAAAAATGAAAAATATTTGTATTTTAATGAATTTTTTAACAGTTACCAGATTATGATTCTAAAGCAATAAAACTTCATGAGGATATTAAAATTGTATTTTCTGACTGAAAACTTTCACATTTCTTGTGAAAGTTCTTTCAGCATACTAAATGCAATAAAACTGTAAATAACAACACTAGTAAATCGCAAAGAATATCACTGAATGGCGAATGAAAGAAGGGGAAAAAAATCAAGACTTGAATTATTTTAATTTATTTATTTACTGATGCCTCATTACGAATTCAAAATGTCAAATTTTGAAATTAAATATCTTAGTCAACTTTTGTCTTACAAGGGTCAAACTTTATATACTGAACTGCAAAAAACTGACTTAAAATGGACTTTCAAAGGAATAATCTAGAGTTAATACAGCTGTTTCAATTTTAATTAATTATTTTAATCATAACAAACAGGAATCATTTTTTGGAAATACAAAATGTAAAAAGTCAGTGACAAAAATTTATTCAAAATAGTGAAAAATAACTATGCTGAAAGAAATTTGTACCAACAAATAAAAATAACTGCAAAATATTAGATTAATTTAATAAAATATTGATGATTTCATGACATTAAGTTGACTCTTCAGGGGGTGTTAACCTCTTACCATAACATCATTTAATTATTAAAGAATTATGATTAGATGTTTCTTTCCTTCCCGACTACTTGAAAACATATTAAACAGCAAAAATAAAAATTAAAGAACCTAACTATCTTCCAAATAATCAAGAATAACACCTCTATGGGGAAAGCCTCTTCAAGATTCCAATATCCTATTAAGATTTTAGAGTGTAAAAAATTTTTATGTAGGAAAGTAAAAAAAAATTCTTCAAACAAAAATCAAATGAATGAAAAAATGAAAATTCTTTAAAAAAATCGAAATTAAAATCACATTATTATTACATCAATTAATTATAAAAAGCAAAAGGACCAAAAAATTACTTATTAGAGCAACTATCTACTGTCTCTTTAAAATATTTTCAAACTGGCTATATAGTTCTCAGGAGGGAAAAAAACTACACTTCTAATAGTGGTGTTAAATTTAGGTAAAAGGTACGAGAAGATTGCTCTAATTGTGAAAAAGTGTTGGGTACTTGCATATTATCCCACCGACCGGCCAAGTAGCACGATTTAGCGACTCCCCAGTAACGATTGCCATTGCCAAAGTTCCCGCCGTTGGTCGAAGGGATAATACATAAGTATCAAGGGTTTAATACTAAAAGCAAAACTGCCATAAATGATGAAAAATCCTCTCAATCAAATGTCTACTCTTGTTGTAACTTACGTAAATGGCTGAAACTTGGTATCTAACTACTCTTTCTACAGGTGTTAATGATCAAGGTTACCTAAGAAAGTTAGCTTTGGCTTATTGAAAAGCTCCTTTGCTAAAGAATATTGCTAATTGATCTGTGTAACAAAGAAGAAAATGTTATGTTGTTGCTAATTCTCCCTGGTTTTTATAGTCAGCCCAAACCCACGATATTCCTTATGGCAAGGAGCACACCTGTCGTTGGCAACAGCCTTGAACACCTTATAGGTGACAGTGCAATTTAGCTCAGTTCTGCCCCCAATTTGATAGACAGCACCCTGGGGGAACAGGTCCGAGAGTCTCCCACCCCTCTTTCCCTACCACCAACTGCTTGAGAGGACTTTCGGGTTGGCGCATATTTAGAGTGTCCCTATGCAGCATGGACACTGTGTATTTACAAACATCCACGCTTTCTCCGGGATTTGAACCCAAGAAATGTGCTTCTGAGAATAGGGTTGCCTTACAAAAAATGCTGCTTCTACAAACTGGCAAACACTACCCTTAAAACTTGTTACTATCATAGAAGTATTACGAAAAATGGCTAAAATTGTTCTCCTAATTAATACATCCTGCGCTCTTCTCCTTGCAATTTGAAATATTGCAATCATTATCTAATAAAATTACAGATTAGAATTCGTAGTTAATGCCACCTTTTTTATAAAAAAAAATTAATAGGATATTTGGGAATATTATTTTTAATTAAAGTATTTGTAAATCAAATGATTTCCTCTTGTAAGGTATTATTCTTGATTGTTTGAATGCATTCATGCTTTCAACTAACCAGGAAGGACAGTTAATGCCTAATCCAAATTTCTTAATTATTGAATGATGTTATAGTAAGAGGTTAACATCCCCAGCAGAATCAACTTAATGTCATAAAATCATCACTAATTTAATAAATTAATTAAATACTTTGCAGTGTTTATTAATTAATAGTACAACTTCATTTGCCTGTTATTTTTCATTACTTTGTATATTTTTTTTCTCTCTATTTTTACATTTTGTGTTTCCAAAAAATTATTTACTGCTTTATGATTAAACAAACTGATGAATTAATATACCTATGTAATATAACATGTTGACTCGTGTGCTTTCAGTTGGATTAAACCAAATTTTTACTATGTATGATATTTTATTGCCATATGTTTTGTATTCCAAGATAACTTCATAAAAGTCTCTTCCAAATTGTATCACCAAAGAGGTCTGAAAGATAAAAGTTAGGTACATGAATATAATGCTACTTATAAGTAAACATACGAGTCTAAAATGTAACAGTGAGAAAAAGGATTTTTATATAATTGTTTGATAAGAATGCTCCCTGTACTTTTAAACTGTATACAGAAAATAGCATATTTTTATTTGGAAGAAAGCTTTAAATATGGCTGAAGTATGCATGACTTCAGCTATTCTTAAAGCTGAAATGATGTTAAGCATATGGATGCATTTAGCTGCTTTTATCCAAAGTAACACCATGTTAAAAAAAAAATAATAATATAAACCAAGGGTAAATGAATGTTCTTGAAAAAGAACTACCATGGCAATTGCATAAAGAGTATTTTCAAAATGTTGATGCTATAAAAGTGAAAACATTCTGAAGAGAGGAAGGGACACATATTATCATAGTTAAATTTGATCAGTATCAGACTGATACAGAATTTTTAGATATTTTACATACCACTGAATGCAAAGCATCAGAAGTAGGGCTCTGTAAACAACTCAATTGCTTAAACCTTTTGATTTTTGATAATAAAAACTAACTTCCTATTTAATAATTAAAATGAAGCTCTCAATTCACTTCTCTTACTTTTGCATACTTGCGATGTAAGTGCTTTGAGATTTATGTTTTGCTACCATGGTTTATTGTTATGAAGCTATTTTGGTACTTATGTATGAGCACAATAACCTATGTGCAGTTTGGCAGATCTCATGGAAGAAAAAGAATATCTTATAAATGTAAAAAATTATCTATTATTTACAAACTTATTATTATGAGCATATTTTACATTTTAACTATGTATTTATCTTAAAAACTATCCATAAACTTACTCACAAGAGGGGTTTTATTCTGGTTGATTTCGTGGCAATCTCTTGAAAAAGAGATTCAAAATATTTTTTTCCTTTAGCAATGACCCATTTCTACAGCAAAATACTGTATTCTGGTAGAAATTTGATTGCAGTTTCTTTCAATCTGAAAAGCTCATTTTTAAAATTGAAAAGTATCCTAATTTGTCTATAAAATCCATTGAATTCAAAATGCAACAACAAAGAAACAAAAAAAAAAAAAGAGAAATACAATAATGACGACTAAAGAATTATCACGCCTATGGTTGCCTAAAAAACTGTTGTGCACTTTTGGCATGTTCTGAAACTTTGGTGATTTTACTAAGCTGGTTGTGATAATACATTAGTACTGCTAATTTAAATCAATGAATCATGATATTAAGATTTGCTGAATAATAATAATTATACATCTTTCAAATTTATACTGAAGAGAAAACAATGCTATAGAAAATTTTATCATCATTAAAATTAAATAAATTATGCAATCTGACATTTAAGCATTATACATGCTTTAAATCAAAACTACATGTTTACATGTACATGTTTACATTTAATTACTACATGTTTCATACTATTCTTAAAAAAACCTGCTATGAGCTTCATTATTCAGTTTTTAAACTGTAGACATTTAAATAAAAACTTTATATTATCTTGGACTGTAGATATAAAAATCTGTTTCATATCTTAAATAAATTTAATTTAAAACCTAATGCAAAGTCAGAATGTATCAAATTCCATTTGGAACATGTAGTAATGAATGTTTCCTAAGATAACTGCTTGTACTGAATTTTTTTTTACATACTTCGCATTCATAACGCTTTTCACCAATATGAATTAAAATGTGTTGCAACAATTTGTTTTTGTAAGCAAAACCTTTGCCACATATTTCACACATATGGCGTTTTACCCCTCGACAATACAACTGATGATCATTTAATCTCCCTTTTGAATCAAACTTTTTATAACATATTTCACATTCATGTGTTTCTTTCACAGGTTCAGGATCTACAATATCAGAACTCTTTTCCTTCACGTGGAGATGCAAATGTTTTTTAAGATAGCTATTTGTATTAAATCTTTTGTTGCATATTTCACATTCATAGGGTTTTTCTCCTGTGTGAATTAACAAATGACGAAGAAGGTTTGTTTTCTCAACAAAACCTTTTCCGCACAATTCACATACATGTTTTTTCACGCCAGAACAATATCGTCGATGGTTGTGCAATGCCATTCTCATGTCAAACTTTTTATCACATATATCACACGTAAAAACTTTGGGAAATGATGTGTTAGTATCATCTGAACTGTTTTGTTTTAAGTGGAGAACTGAATGACTTTTAAGAGCACTCTTTTTATTGAATTTCCTTTCACAGACCTCACACTGAAATGGTTTCTCTCCTGTATGAATAAAATAATGCTGAGAAAGAGTGCTTTTTTCAATAAAACCTTTTCCACATATCTCGCATACAAAAGGTCTTTCCCCAGAATGAATACGGCTGTGCTTGAGTAACTTAAACTTGGCATCAAATTTTTTACCACATATGATGCAAGTATATATTTTTATTCCAGAACACTGTTCCTGTGCTGGCTTTTTAATTTCATCTGCTGGGTTTCCTTCTGGATGACGGCGTTTATAATGCTTCGTGAGGGTACTGTTTTTATTAAACTTTTGTCCACACACTTTACACTGAAATGGTTTCTCTCCGGTGTGAATAAAATAATGCTGAGACAGAGTGCTTTTCTCCACAAAACTTTTTCCACATATGTCACAAACATGGGATCTGGCACGATGAGAACGACTGTGTTTACGCAATTTAGATTTATGTTCAAACGTTTTATTGCATACACCACATGTAAATATTTCTTTGCCTGTATAAGGTTTATCTGGAGAATGGCAGATCTTAGTATGCCTTTGAACAGAGCTTTCATTAAGAAAAATTTTTCCACAAATATCACATTCATATGTTTTATCATCACTATGAATTAAAGAATGTTGATCTAAAATCAATTTATCTGTAAAGCACATTTCACAATCATTGCATTTATAGCTTTGAATATTTTGTGATAGAATATTATTACAGAATACTCCTCTGCCACCGCACGTTTGTTTACACGATTCGCATTCAACAGGGTTTGTTTCCAAGTTTTCATTGCTTGATTGGTATTCCATAACAGCACGAAAAGATGTTTCTTTCTGTTAATTTATTATGCAGCCGTTTCTGATTTGTTGATTCAAGTACTCTTTTCTGACATTTACTTATTTTAACAATTTAAACATACATTTAAACAAATGCGTCACAGATTCAGCTGAAAGATAGTGTATGAGCATTTCCTTTCGATTAAATTTTTCACATTCTAAGGGGGGAAAAAAGGTAAACTTAATACTAAAAATTAATTTTATTGCTTACAAGAATGTCTATTCGTAAACAATAATAAAAGTTTGGTGAAAATGTGCTTTAGCCCACTGCTTGGCGATTTTCAGTAGCGGCGATTTTTTGAAAGTCGCCAGCAAAGCTGTATATATAATACTTTTGAAACAGCTTTGGTCGCCAGTAAACGTTGTATAAACAAAGTTGCGAAGGCGGAACTATGTCGTTCATAAATGGGTGGGACTAAGATTGTGACGTCACAATGTATTCTCTCACAGCCGACTGTATATTATAGAGTTGGCTGTGGTATTCTCTACAGATGTAGAAATAAGTATACTAAATTTTTTGTATTTCAAACTACTATAATACGGTAAGTGAATTGTAACAGTTATTAAAACTGTAAACAACGTCGCAGTCTCTCACACAGTGTGAATATTTTTAAGCTTCAGTATTTATACAAATTAAAACAGATTTTTTTTTAATTTTAATTTCATATTGCGGAACATTTTAACTTTATCATCTTTACAAAATTACCTTATTGCTACGTAACGACACCATACCTTACATACTAGTAAGTAAACAATCTTCATTATTTTCTAAAAATTTTTAAGCTTTATATTAATAAAAAAAGGAAAATATTTATTATTGAACATCAACATCCACAGCTTTTATTTCCATGTTTCTTAAATTCCTAAATCACTATTTCGTTAGAATTCTACACATTATAAATTTAAAGGCTAAAAGAATAGGGCATCATCGGTTTACTCTTATGGACTAATCAAAGAGGTGTGTGATGTTTTTAAAGGCACCACAGTTATGAATGTTTTTCAAAAAATCTCGGCAGCCATGCCTGAACTGCGGGCTGCGGAGCATTCAATCGATAAGTTGTTTATATTATTTAATGTTTTTGACAGTGTGTTTTTCCAATGTTGAATAATTATGTATAGTGTAAACAATAGGTACTTAAGTATTATTACTTGGAACGCAAATGGTTTGTTCCGTAAGATTAATGAATTGCGGGATTTTGCAAGTGAGCACAGTCCCGACTTATTTTTCCTACAAGAACACAAGCTTGACCCTAAAATACCATTGTGTGTGGCAAATTACTATACCTACAAGTCGCACAGAAGTACTACCGCTCCTCGCCCACGTGGAGGTGGCACTGCACTTCTTGTCAAACGCTGCATTCCCCATTATCACGTGAACATTCCACAGCTCTCAGCCGTAGAGGCCACAGCTATCTGCATCACAACAGACACTAACACTCCATACACTTTTGTCTCCACCTACATTCCTCCCATGAGACCTGTGGCTGTCGTTCAGGATAACCTTGAAATTCTACTCACACTTGGTACACATGTTATTATTGGTGGAGACTTGAACGCAAGACACCGCGCATGGAACTGCTACACTTCTAATGCAACAGGCAGACTGATTTATTCCTTGGCCGCGTCGGCACGGTTTAAATTGGCAGTTCCAAGTACCCCAACACGGTATGCTGCTGGGTCCACCGCAATTATTGATTTTTTTCTTGTTGCGGAACACCAGTTCTCCACTGGATATTTCCGTACTGGACGAACTTTCAAGTGATCACAAATCCTGTTAGGATTATTCTGGACCTCAGCAGATATACTACATCAGACACCAGGGCCTTTCGTACAGACTGGCAGGTCTTTGCCAAAGCCCTCTCCAACACCCAGTACACTTTACCCACGATACACAAGGGGAGTGACATTGATAGTTTGGTCAAGGACCTCACTGAAAATATACAAAATGCTTATGCGAAAGCACAAGTTGAAGTTAAACCTGGTATGAAACACAAGCCTCAAGAGCTCAGATTATTGATTAAAGAGAGAAATGCTGCAAGACGAGCGTATCAACGCACCAGACACCGTGATGATAAAAGGAACTTCAATCGCCTGTGCGAAGCGGTCAAGTTTTTCTTACAAATAAACTCTCACAAGATCGCTGGACTAACTAACTACCTCAGATCTCTTTCTGCAGAGGATAACTCCTTATGGAAAGCAGTGAAGAGGTACAAAAAATGCTATAACGCCATTCCGCCCCTTCACGGCCCTCAACGGATCCATTACACCGGAACTGAGAAAGCAGAACTTTTAGCTCAGCATCTGGAATCTCAGTTCTGCATTAACAACATTTCAGACTCAGACACTGAACAGCTTATTGCTGACTTCCACTCCAATTTTACAACACAGCCATGCACAGACAACATTATCTCAGCCATGCCATCGGAGGTCTGTCTCTATATCATGCGAATTGCGAAAAGGAAGAGCCCTGGAGTAGACGGTGTCACAAATGAGATGATCAAGCACTTCCCTGTCAAGATAATACTCTACTTCACCAAGTTAGTGAATATCATACTACGATGGCAATACTTCCCAACTTGTTGGAAAACTGCCAAGATTGTCCCTCTGCTAAAGCCCAACAAGCCTGCGACTGCTCCTGAGAGTTACCGACCAATCAGTTTGCTAAGCTCAATTAGCAAAATCGTGGAAGCAGTTATTCTACATAGACTAAACATCTTCCTGGATGAGCAGAAGATCCTCATACCCTATCAGTTTGGGTTCAGGCGTAAGCACTCGACAACGCATCAACTCTACAGAGTTGTTGAGTTAATAAGCAGTGGGATGCAACAACATCGTGTCACTGGTGGACTTTTCTTAGATGTCGCCAAAGCCTTCGATAGAGTATGGCTGGATGCCCTCATATACAAATTACACAACCTGGGACTCCCAGGCTACATCACAAACATAATTAAATCCTACCTAACCGGTAGACACTTTGTCGTTCATGTTTCTGGTTCATTATCCACAAACCGGCCTATACGGGCTGGTGTTCCACAGGGATCCCTTCTGGGCCCTACCCTATTCAATATTTACGTGAACGACATCCCCACTACACACAACACAACACTAGCCATGTATGCAGACGACACAGCGATCCTTACGCAAAGTGCATTTGTTAGTTCAGCAATACAACAGCTACAACACCACATCCACTCGCTAGAGACTTGGCTGACCAAATGGAAAGTCAAAGTGAATGTCGACAAGACACATGCCATACTGTTTACTACTAAGAAGAATTTCCCGACTCACCTGCAAATGTATGGTGTGGACATTCCCTGGGTCAAGCAGGTCCCTTATCTTGGGGTGATCCTCAGTAAATCTCTTACATGGAACCCACACGTTACACATATTCTCAGGAAGTTTCGAGCTAGTAAAGCTTCACTCTTCCCCTTAATTGCTCGAAACAGTGTTCTATCTATTGATAATAAGTTGCTCATTTACAAAACCATGTTGCGTCCAATTCTTAGTTATGCATGCCCCGTCTGGGCATACTCGTGCAAAAGTTTGAGAAGGCAGTTACAAGCTGCCCAAAACGGGGTATTGCGTATGATATGTAATGCCCCCTGGTACATTCGGAATAGCCAAATTCGTAAAGAGTTAAGAATAGAGGATCTTTGTGATTTTTATTGCCGCCTATCTAGGGCATTTTATGATAAACAGGAACTTCTGGACAATCCTGTGGTTGTTAACTATTGTTATGATACTAGGGACCCCAATTTCAGTAAACGCCCAAGGGCGATCCTAAATGTTAGTAATGTGTAATTTTGTATATGTGTTATGCAAATTGTTGCTCAGATTATTGTATATTGTTCTTTTTTCCTCCTGATTGCATTTTGTTTTTACTAGTGGCACTAAGGCGTCGCACTTCGTATTTTGTTTCTCTTGTGTGTACATGTATTCTTCTGTGAAATAGTTGTTTAAAAAATAGTTAATTATGTATGGATTAGTAATTAGGTACTTAAGGAAAAAATATGTATTTAACTATTAGCAATTATGTATTTAAACTCTTACTCATTTAATTATTTAGCACATTCAGTTATATTTCTCATAATTCGAAACTTTTATCATGTTATTCGATGAGGGGTAGGGCTGTGGCGCCCAGGTGGTTAAGCACCGCAGTTTCAACGCTTTTTGAAATATGGTTCGTCTTCTCAAAAAGTATAAGTTGAATTTATAAAGAAAAATAATTTAAAATTGAATGTTTTATAATTTTTGCGGATTTTTAAATTGTAATCTTTTGTTGTTTGGGTTTGTAGCTTAGCGCAACAATATCTTCCAAATGTATATAAGATACCAAACGATTGAAAACGATCATTAGCAAACGATTGAAAATATTGAATGCATGAATTAAAAATTATAACCGTAACTTCTGAAAATACAGAAAAGAATTCTTTTGCTTAAAGGGAGGGCGCTGTGATCACGTACGATGGAGGCAGGATCTTGGAAGAGCTCCTGAATTTTCAAAGGTGTTTTCCGGAAAATCTTCATTTATTTCAGAAAATTTTCGCGAATATCCTCTGCATTGTCTCGTTCTCAAAGCTGGGAGTTCTCCTGTACCTGGGGGGTCTTGTCTTCCTTGCAATCCTTTGCAGCACTAAAACGGAGCGTTCATATAAGTAGAACTTCTTTTCTCTAAGCTAAATCAAATATCTGTCACTAAAGTACCTTTAAATTCATTCATTTATTATGATCATTATTATTATTATGCTCATTTTATTATGTTTTGGCATTAAATACTTAGTAATTGCTTTAAATCATGTGGTTCTTTTTTGGTTACTATCTCGTAGGGACGCTATCCTTATCAGTAGCCCTTATCAGTAGTGTTAGCCCTACCCATTGGGGCCCCTTTGAGGAATATCTCGAGAGCTAAAAACACGATCTCGGGCCTCAATGAATGTACAGAGTTGTAGTTTTTGCTCCTTTAATCTATATTTCCTATCTATTTAAATTAAAAGCATATATTAATACAGTGTGCCTCAAATTGATAAAAATAGTATAAAATAGTACACATATAATAATTATGACCATTAACTTAATAAATAAATAAAATGCTTATTTTTAAAAAAAATTAATTAATAATAATAATAAAAAAAACTCCGTAATTTATTTACTTATTTATTTTTGCTGATATGTTCTCGCCTTGTTTTGGATTTATGATTTTATCTGATGGTGTTTTCTGAATATATAAATATGTTGGAAACCGCAATAGATGATGTTACTTAGTTTAATGTATAACTTTGCATGATATTATATGTATCTTGATCTTATGTGTCTTCTGTTACTGTGTCTCAAGGTA